AGAGGCCTCAAGGCACAGGGGCACGGCCCATGGGTCGTGCATTAGAAGTGAATCTCATGTGGACCTCCCACCACCACCGTGTGTCTGTCTGTTTTGGACACATCACTCTCTTCCTTTCGGCCCTAATGGAGTTCATGAGAGGCTCATGGGGGGCGGGCTGTATTGGAAACATTTTCTCAGCTTTTCCGAACCAGCCGCACACTGATCTGCGGCGTGTACAGGTCTCTAGAAGGGCCTTGTCTGCCTGTAGGAGGACAAATGTCTGTTGTGTGGCTCTTCTGTCCTCGGAACACTCCCCCCTCTTCTCTGCACCGTTGCCATAGTAACCAAAACAGCTTTTCAAACTAGGGAAGGAATCTCTGGTGGGCACTGGGGAACTTAGCAATGCGAGAACATAAGTGGAGCCTCAATTATAGATGCTGGCGAAGATACCTTGCTATTAATAGCTTAAACAAGTGGAAATTAAGAGGTAAGCTTTGCCGCCGCTTGGAGGGTAGGCAGGATGGATGCACTGATGGGCTCTTACTGTCACTTAACACAAGGATGCTGTACTTCCCATGTCCGTTGCCAGACAAGATCAAAACTCAGCCTTCTTTTTTTGCTTTTCTTCAGTGCTCGGAATGGGAATAGAGTGTTGAACATGCTAGGCAAATGCCCACCCTTTTATTATTATTATTGTTATTATTTAATGTGTAGTGTATTGTGAGTGCACGCGTGTGCACAAGCATGTGGACTAAAAGACAACCTTGGATGTTGTTCTCAGGAATGCTGTGCATCTCCCTGGACACGGAATCTAGGCCAGGAGCTCATCAAGTAGGCTATGCTGGCTGGGCAGTGATTCCCAGGGGCCCTTTGGTCTCTGCTTCCCCGGTATCGGAATGACAAGTGTGTACCTCCATGCTTGGCACTTTGACGTGGGCTCTGGGAGTTGTGAGTAGGAGACAAGCATTCTACAGGCTATCTTCCCATGCCCCCTCCACCCTATTTTTATTTATTTTTGAGACATTGCCTTGTTAATGTGGCTCTGGTTTGCCTGTGATTTGCTCTGTAGCATAGGCTGGCCTTGCCTCCCAGGAGCTGGGATTATAGGTGTGTGCCTTTACACATGGCTCGTTTTGTGGAGCAGAAGCGCTTGTGTGAGGACAGCTTCCACACTCTGGGAGGTTCTAGAATCCTAGCCAGCACACTTAGCTGCACATTAGAAGCATGAAGCCTGCAGCCTCAGGCTTCACTGCACCAATAATATCGTATCGTCGTCGCCCAGAACTCCTGCTTATCTACAGCTCTGGGAACTCAAGGGGGAAGGCAGGTCCTTGACTTTGCCTCCAAAAGGAGTTCCAGAATGAGCCAGTGTGAACCGGAGTTCCTCAAAAGGAGATTTAGTTGGATAGGTTTGGTGTGTGTGTGTGTGTGTGTGTGTGTGTGTGTGTGTGTGTGTAGTGAGATAGTCCTCCTGTAGCACTGACCACGCCCATTGGGGGGTGGAGCGATGGGCAGAGGTGACCTGAGGAAGGAGGTCCGAGTCACGCCAGAAAGTATATGTAAATAGTTATATTGTTTAAGTATTTGTTCCTGCTTTACTCAGGAAAGTTTTAATCAGTCTTTTTAGCTAAGTTCCCGAGTATTACAGATTATCTTCACTCACATTTCCTGTACCTATGAGATTAGTCAGATATAGATGCTTAATCTTCAATCACTTCATAGACATGCAGAACATGGCATTTAAATGTTTTAATATTAGTACTCCATTGACATGAGACACTGTTGCTCCTGACAGCACCGTGCACTTTCCCGAAAATATGTTGGACACTGTTGTTGCTCCTGCTGGAGCTCAATCTCGCCTCAGCTAATGGCCTGTTGGGCATAGAATTGCCCCCACCTTGACCACTGATTTGGACATGTAGTCCTATGTGCTTGCAGGAGACAAATATAAAAGACTGCTTGACCTTGCCAAGTCAGGGTAAGACAGCCATTCTATTTCCCTGCTGTTGTTGTGGTCTGTCAAGTTCTCTTGGCCTTAGCCAAATCTGGGTGTACCAACGTCGCTGTGAGACCTAGGGTGACTGTTCAGGTGGCTTGCTGTTTCTGTCCTTGCTGCACCTTTTGAAAGTTGTCCATCCGCATTTCCTGTCTACTCTAGTATTGTTAATTTCCTTCTCAGGTCTTGATGAGGTTGAAGATTAAACTATCACAACTATTATTCTCTCTTCCTAGTTAGATATATTAGGTACTAGACTTACGTTTTCCAGCTTAGGACAACTCTATTGTAAACTCCATTATGCCCTCACCCTAGGACTAGATATGTAGGTCATTTTGTTCTCGATTTTCCTTTTCTTAGAGCACACTTGTTATTCACTGTTTTGTATATAGTTTTGTATTAAGCCTAAATCTTTTCTTTAGACTAAAAGGGGAATTGTAGTGAGGTAGTCCTTCTGTAGCACTGACCACGCCCATTGGGGGGTGGAGCGATGGGCGGAGGTGACCTGAGGAAGGAGGTCGGAGGGGGCCAGGAAGGCGCTCTCTTTCTGGCGTGACTCGGACAGGAGAGGATCGGGTTGAATTTCCTGGTGTTCATCTGTCTAGGTTGTAAGTTATTTCTCCCTGAATAAACATCTATTCGGCCTATTTGTTTATCCTGATCCTTATTTACCGCAATATGTGTGTGTGTTTGTTGGTCCCCCCAACCCCCCTCCAAGGCAGGGTTTCTCTGTGTAAAAGCGCTGGTTGTCCTGGAACCCACTCTGTATACCAGGTTGGCTTCGCGCTCAGAGATCCACCTGCCTCTGCCTCCTGAGACCAAAGGCGTGTGCCATTGCTGTTCCTGCTGCTGCTGCTGCTGTAGCCGCCACCACCGCCTGTTTTTGAAGACAGAGCCTCACTCACTATGTAGGTCTGGCTGGTCTGGAGCTCTCTATATAGACAAGCTGCTTTGGGACTCACTGAAATCTGCCTGACATCATAAGCTGTTGTGTTGTTACTGCTTTAAGACATGGTCCTGTGTAGCCCAGGTTGGCTGAGAATGTCCTTGAAGTACTGATCCTCATGCTGGGATGACCGGTGTGTAACGACATCCTTGAGTGAATTTGACAAATCTTTAAAAGCTCCCAGATAGGGCCAGGCAGTGTTATATTGGCTCTTAGGTTGAGAAGCGCCCCCCCCCACACACACACACTAAGGGACCTAGATACAGAAATAGGCAGCTAGGCGAGGGGTCGGAAGAAAACAGAAGGTGGGTCAGGCCAGGAGGGGCCTCCCTGGGAAATGTCACCTCCAAAACGGGTGGCTCAGTGGAGAGAACTCACCATAAGGCTGCCACATTCTTTTTCAACGGGCGCTTTGCATATTGTTTGAATACATTTGCATGTTGCTTGTGCTGAGGCCCCTGGAGATCTCAGAGTCCACAATGGAACTGGAGACTCGGATTCCTCCTACATTTTTCCTTATATTTCAAACATGCCCTGCCCTCAGTCCTCACTAAATTCCAGGCGTGAGCCTTTCTGGCCTCCCTTCACAGGCCATGCTGTTGGATATCCGTCTCTGGACCTTCTGGGTAGGCCCCGTTGCCTTGGGAACACATCTTCACCAGGCTTAGTGCCCTGTTGCCTGGGGCCTTTCCATGAGGCAGTGACCTATCTAGTCAAGGTGTCTGGTAAGGCTGGGCATTGGGGGGGTGCCCGATTTTTGTCCCAGCACTTGGGAGGCAGAGGCAGGCGGATCTCCGTGAGTTCAAAGCCAGCCTGGACTACAGAGCGAGTTCCAGGACAGGCTCCAAATAATACAGAGGAACTGTCTCGAAAAGCCCTGATCTTCTGGAACCCATTGAAGGCCCACTTCTCAGTCATGTGTTAGCTGTGCATATGTTTGCAACGAACTGCACATTACATTGCCTGATAGACTCAGGGTTAGACCAAAACAGAGTCTGTGTGTTTGAGCAATGCCGGGAACAAAGAGGTTGATGCAGCAAGTCTGGTCCCAGGTGAAGCAGGAAGCTCTTGAGTGCCAAGCCCGCTTGGGTTCTAGAACGAGGCTCTGTCAAGGAAAAACAAAACATCGAAACATCTTCATTTAGTGGAGTTGCCATCAGGACGTTTCCAGAGCTGTTTTTTTTTTTTTTTTTGTTTTTCTTTTTAACTGAGTTGCTTTTTTTTTTTTTTTTTTCCTTGTACAGGGCCACATTTCCTCATTTCTTTGTATGGTTTCTAAATTTTGATGTTGAAAACTGAGTGTATAAATCTAAACATGTAGTGAGTGTGTAACTCAGATTTCCCCACGGTTTGCCCAGTTTGAGACCAGCCTGAGCTCATAGTGATGAGAGCCAAGGTTATATAACAAGACCCATCTCAAAAAGCCAAAAAAGTAGGTGGGGTTTGGTGGCATCTGGCTGTAATCCCTTTGAGAGGCAGAGGCAGGTGGATCTTTGTGAGTTCAAGGCCAGCCTGGTCTATGGAGTGAGTTTTACGACAGCCAGGGCTGCACAGTAGGACCTGGTCATGAGAGCAAGCGAAAAGCGGAAAATGGAGGGAGAGAAATGGCCTGAGTGTGCTGCTCTCTCAGAGTTCTGAATTCAGTCCCTAGCGTCAACTCTGGTGGCTCACCTGCAACGTCAACTCCAAGGGACCCCAAAGACCTCTTCTGGGCTCCGAAGCACCTGTATTACTTATGCGTTCGTGTGTTACCTGCTACCGACACCACATACACATAACTTTAAAAATTTACGTATCTTTAAATAGTCAAAGTGAGTGAATGGATAAGAGAAGAGTTCATCCCCAAATTTTGTTTTTAAAAGTTATTTAACTTTATGCGCATTGCTGTCAGATCCCCTGGAACTGGAGTTATAGAAAGTTGCAAGCTACTCGCTATATGGGTGCTGGGAATTGAACCCAGGTCCTCTGGAAGAGCAGACAGTGCTCTTCACCACTGAGCCATCTCTCCAGTCCCTGTCCACAGGTTTATAAGTGCAGAATTCCATTTCGGACTAACCCTATTTACTTCTCTTGCAGGAAGGCATCCCTCGGGGCCAATATCTGCAGGCCTGCGTATAGCTCCTTGTCCAATCACAAGTATGTTCCTCGGAGGGCGGTGCTCTATGTGCCTGGGAATGATGAAAAGAAAATACGGAAGATTCCATCCCTAAAAGTAGACTGTGCTGTGCTGGACTGTGAGGATGGTGTGGCTGAAAATAAGAAGGTAAGGGCCTGGTTTTTTGATGGAGGGAAGCTGGGCTGGAAATTCACTGCTCTTAAACTAGCATTGTTCGCTGTTGGCAGAGTGTTATCCTTGGTCTTTGTCGATGGTTAGTGGTTTTAGATTCACCGCTTTATACCAGTTCCAACTGTCTCTGAGAGAAGAGACACGTTCTGTTAAAATAACATCTTAAAGCCATAGCATCCAAATATCCGTGATCAGTGGGTGTACATATAAATAGAGAGGTAACCAGATTTGCTCTGCTTGTCCTACGTAAATGAGTTAGATGGTTCTAGAATCTCGGTAAAAGAGTCCCAAGCCAACTGAAATACAACGAAGGAATTTATTTCTTCTGTATAGCCCTGACTGTTCTAGAACTTGATCTGTACTCTCCTCTGCCTCCTGAGTTCTGGTTCAAAGGTATGCGCCACCACTGCTTGGTTTAGGAATTTATTTCTTCTTAAAACCACCAGGTATATTGAATATTTGCCTTAGGTTCTCTGGGACAGATGGCCAAGAACAGATGAGGTACTTTTCCATGGACGAGTCAGTATTTCTCCTTCTTATAGGAGAAGTACACAGGACTCACAGCTTCTTGCGGCTTCTATCCCGGCGCCTGAATAGTGTGTGAACAGGTCGATGGGGATTGTTCCTGGTCCCTCCTCATTAAAACAAAACTGTTCTTAATTTAAAACTTATAAGTTTTAAACTGTATCTCCCAAGCTGACCTCAACTTTACAATCCTTCTGCATCAACCACCCAGGTTTTGGGATGATAGAATTCACCACCAGGCCAGGCACAGAAGTTTCTTGCCTGGTAGTTGAATGGTAGATACTTTGGGTTTATCTATTTTTATTTTGCATATGTGTTTTGTTTGCATGTATGTCTGCGCCAGAAGAAGGCATGAGACCCTTTGGAACTGGAGTTATTAGCCACCGTGAAGGTGCTGGGAACTGAACCCTTGACCTCTGGGAGTGAAGTCAGTCCTCTTAACTACTGAGCCATCTCTCCAGCCCCTGTTCTGCTTACCTTTCTATTTATTTATTTTGAGGCACTCTATAGATCAGGCTGACCTCAGAGATCCCCCTGTCTCTGCCTCCCAAAATCCTGGGATTGAAGGTATTCGCCACCACAGCCCGTTTATTTTCAAGATTTTAAGTAATGAACAAGCATTTGTTTGATAATTAGGTGAAATATGCAAATCTGTATAATAATAATAATTTATGTATGCGTGCAAATGCTTTGGTTAAAAACATGCTTTCCCCAACCTTTGTTTACCCATTGAGTCCCTAGGCCATCTGGATCCCTGCTGTCTGGGTAGCTTCTTACTCCCCATGATCTGAAGGAGCCTGTCTGAACTGTACAGCTTTCCAGAATAATTACTTTCCTACTAGCAAACAAATATTTACCTTAATTAAAAAAAAGAGTTAATTTCCCATATCTTCTTAATGATACAACCCAGACTTCCCAAGTATTTGGGAAAAGATTAGAATAGACATGTAGAATCTAAAGCGTCTGCTCAATGTGTTTGGTATATAATTGACACAATTAATTTTCTTTCTCCTAGAGATTAAACTAAATAGACTTTCTTTTTCTTTTTCTTTTTTTTAAAGACTGTAATGTGGTTCCAGCATACCCCTCCCAAAACTCTGTGCTCTGAGATTAGATACCAGGTTGTAATTCCAGTTTCCTATAACCTCAGGCAATTCACCTTACCTTGCCTCAATTTCTTATCTATACTGTGGGGATGACAATATCTCCTTTTGTCAATGCTGGGGATTATTATGGGAGAAAAGTTGATAAAGTGCCTGCAAGTAGCTTGATTTCCTATAGCAAACGGGTCAGATAAAGCCCCTAGCAATTGCAGTCAGAGGGGAGTTTATTTTAGCATAGGAGCACAGTAAGCCCCTGAGAGCCTGGATATGAAGTTCTGATTATGCTTCTTCTTGAGGCTGTCCTCTGAGACCCCCTCCCCCAGTCTTTTCTGTCCCTTCTTACATCTGCCTGTGTATCTGTGTATTCAGCCATTCGCTATCCAGATATCAGCAGCTGAGCTACTAGTTAGAAGCCTCAGGAGATGAGCAAGCTACAGTGGCCGACTTCTTTTGGTGTGTGTGTGTGTGTGTGTGTTGGGGGCAGGTGTTTGAGATGGGATCTCACTATGTAGCCCTGGGTGTCCTAGAACTTATTATGTAGACCAGGCTGGCCTGGAACTCACAGAGATTCACCTGCTTCTGCCTCCAAGTGCTGGGATTAAAGGTGTGAGAGCCATTATGCCCGGCTTCATGCAAATGCTTATGTGTGTAGACACCAGAGATCAACCTTGATCCTGGAAGTCCTTTCTTAGGAAAGCTTCACCTTATTTGTTTGTTTGTTTGTTTGTTTATTGAGACAGTTTAAAGTCCCAGGGATCTGTCTATCTCTGTCTCCTCAGAGCTGAGATTACAAACCTGCCACCACACTTATTTTTCACAAGAGTACAGGTGAGAAAGGGTTTTGCAGCTGAAGAGTATCTTGATAATTGGGGGACCAAGAAACATTGGGGGGGGGGAATCACAGCACGCAACAGACCTCACGAAACCTCTGAACAGGGTAGAGACAGCTACAGACCTGGTGCCTGGTGGTGATGGTGGCTGTGTAGGGAGTATGGAGCATGGGCATAGGGAAAATACAGTTTGGGTAGAAGATGGAAAAGAGTGGTATTGGCCTTTAGCCATGATGGGGCAGTTGGCACTGAGTCATTGTAGGTGGGTGGGGAATGAGGAGTATGTGGTTCTGGAATGTGGGTGGCATAGCGTGCTAAATAAGAACCTGGAAGACAGATAGGCTGATGGATGTTTATTCGGGGAGAAATCACTTACACCAGAAACAGATGACCGCCGCAGGTTCCTTTCCAAGGATGCCTCCAGATGCTGTCTGTCTCTGACCAGGAAGCAAGAGAGTGAGCTGGGGTCTGGGACCCCAGACCTAGTCCCCCTAGGTCACGTGGCACCTGTCCCCACGCCCTAATGGGTGTGGTCAGTGCAATAGGTGCGGGAAGGGTGGATAGCTCACTACAGGGTGGTTACCTCAGTACAGGTTCTTCATTAGGATACTCAATTCTCTTATTACAGCTGAATATTGCACTAATTACTAAACACACTATTCTACATGCTGTGTTGATAAGAGCCAACTAGAGTTCCCTTTAAAAACCCACAGAAATCTAAGGCAATGGTGGCCTTTAATCCCAGCACTTGGGAGGCAGAGGCAGGTGGATCTCTGAGTTTGAGGCCAGCCTGGTCTACTGAGTTAGTTCCAGGATGGCCAGGGCTACACACACAGAGACCCTGTCTCAAAACAAAACAAAACAAAAAAATCCACAGAAAGTCTTTGTAAGCTAGCACAATAATTGTAAAAAGTGGATCTGGATAGTATTTGTTTGGCGGTTAAAATTATTCCTAGATATGATGGTTAGATCCATCAACTGGACAGGATCTAGAACCAGCTGGAAATGGCATCTGGGTGTGACTGTGGAGGGTCATCCTGAGTGAGTGTGGAAGACTCACTGCCCTGTGGGTGTATGAGGAGAAAATGAATCAGAATCTCCTGCATCATCCACTGCACCTGTGGCTGCGGTGACCGCCCATTTTAGATCCTGCTACCTTGAGCTTCCTTCCTTAATTGCTTGTCAGCCTATTTTATCACAGACACAGTTAAAAAAAAAAAAAAAAATACAAAAGAGGATTTAGCCCCATCTCAGGCAGTCTGCTCCATTGTTATTGTCTCAGGGCTTTTTTGGATTTCGGTTTCATCATCTGACGTTCCAATCATCTAAGCGTTTGACAAGTGTTGCCATATGAAAACCTAACAAGTTTGCTGTGTAACTGTTAAAGAGGTTAGAGCCAAGTACATCACAAGCCACCATCGAGAACCTTCTGTTTGAGTTTATTTAACCAACATTTAAACGGTGCTGACAAAAATACCAGACACTGTCAATTACATGGCAGCTCAAAGAGGCACTTTTGCAAATAAGGAAACCGAGGCATTCTGAGGTTCATGCCCATGATTTATCCTGGGGATATGGTTATTCGGTCATCTGAATCCAAAAATCCAATCTCTCCATGAAACTGTTAGATTTTTGTCAAATCCCTTATCAGAATGAAGGTACATTCCTGATAGAACCAGCTAAACATACACTACTGTGTCCTCGTCCATCACCCGAAAACCGAAGTGTCAGGTAGATAATACCTGGATTTTGTTTTGTTTATTTAACAGTGCTGGGATCAAATCTAGGACTTCATGCAAGCAGGGCAAGCAAGTATTCTACCATCTCTCTCTCTCTCTCTCTCTCTCTCTCTCAAGGCAAGCAACCAAAGTTTTGTTTAGCAAGATAGAGTAACAGCTTCCTGCTGCAGGGTGGGATGGTCCCAGAAATGGGTTACCAGATACTTGTTTTAAGTTCTCTTGTTTTGAGATGGAGTATCACTATGTAGCCTCAATGGCTTGGAACTCTGTGGAGACCAGGCTGGGCTCCAACGCACAGAGGTACACATGTGTCAGACTGTGTCCACTGCGCCTGCATCTGAAGTTATTTCCTAGTCATTTTTCTAATCTGTGTATTATTCTTCTTGGTGGAGAGGATAGCGTTTATTTCTAGATAGAATTTCATGTAGCTCAGGCTAGCCCAGAACTCCCCACATAGCCTATCTGGCCACGACCTTAAACTCCTGAGGCCAGTGCTTCTAACCCTGCAGGCATGTCCCTCCACGTGCAGCTGAGCCCCTATTTGTGAGCTTATCTCTACGTTACACTCTATATTAAAGCTTCAGTTCTGATTATCTGGCTGTAGTTTTGCCAAGCTGAGCTATGGCATCATTCATCCTCTTTAGAATTATTAAATATAGGCATGTATCATTTTGTATCTTAATTTTATTTATTTATTTATTTATTTATTTATTTATTTATTTATTTTGCTAATTGACTGACTATTTCACTTGCCTGGCTCTCTGTGGAGTGCACTTACC